AATTTCTTTTCTTTTCATATTTGGAGTGAGATCCTTCTTTGTGTCTTTGATGTTCTCTTTTTCAATCCACTGTGAGGGTGATCAGTCCAAAACATTTCCTGGGGATCCACCTAGTAGATATGACATGGGATTACAACTCTGTTATGTACTGAGGCATACACAAAATTTAATAATGTGGTCTTTGACCTCACGTGGCTTAAATTTTACTAAATAGCCTACAAAGTGACTTTTATAATAAGACAGAGTGGCAAGTAAATAGGCTTTGAAGGCCGATCTTGATTCATATCATACCATCATACTATCTTTGGGAAACCGACACAACTTCTCTGAGCCTCAGTTTCCTTATGTGTAAAACAGGGACAGCAATACCTTCCGCAGGGCCCCTATTATGAGGATTTGATGCGACAATATAAGAAAAGCACAGCTGGGCATGGTGGACACACCTGTCATCCCAACTGCCCGGGAGGCTGAGGCAGGAGCATCACAAATTCCAGACCAGCCTCAGCAATGTAGTGAAACCCTGTCTCAAAATGTCAGGCTTGTGGAGGCTGCTGGGTGGGAGAAGACCAGTCCAGTGTGTGAGGCCCTGCTCAATCCCTGCACTGGGGGGAGGAGAGGAGCACCTTGTGTTGTGTGCTGCTCAGAGTGAATACTAAGGTCAGCTGTTGCCCTCTATCACTGTTTTAGGATGACACTGAGAGAGGTTAATTAACTAGAGGTTAATTAATTGGTTCCCCACAACCTTTTCCAGTAATCATCAATTCTTTGACTACTTTTCTCATCTATTATCCTAACAAGTGCCCGATACAGCAGAACAGTGGCAATGCTACCAGGGAAAGTCACTTTCCTTCCAGTGGCTTCCTTGTACGCCACAGGACACCTTCCTTTCCACTTTTCTACTGACTAGTTCTGCTGCTTGCTGGCTGTGTGACCCTGAGAAAGTCAGCTATCAACATGCCCCAGGCTAGGTCTGGTATCTAAAAGAGGAGATCAATCCCCATCTCCTGGGGTATGGCAAGGATCCAGTTACGTATACAACACACTGAACAAGTAGTGTACCACAGTGCTCAAGAAACGGCAGCCACCGTGGCCCACAATGTACTCACATAATTTCCCATTTCAGTCAAAAGTAGTCAGGTGGTAAATTATGACCTAACGTGACAAGAGGGGACCTCCTGAATCACAGAAGTCTCCAGAAGATGACCGAGCAATTAACTTCTATTAATCCTCCTTCTGAATTACAATTTCAGCGAACATGCCTATCTCTTAGGCTTTGAAGAAGCCATTACTTATTACTTAGGAGACTAGAGGAAGGAAATGTAAGGCATCCATAAACAGCAACAAAAACAGAGGCAGAAACACTTTCAAAGGGAAGGATACCAGTTTGATGCTGCCATGATCAACAGAGCAACTGTGGCTTGTAGGTATTTTAAATTATACTAGAGTCCATTTGCCATCAGAAATTCTGTCAGAATGAACATTGGGCCCAAAATGACAGTGCAAATTTGAATAAAATGACAAAGGCATTAGGATAAGCAACCGCTTTTATTGTCCGTTTGTTTCCTTTGCTGAGACAGGGACTCCCGAAGTTGTCCAGACTGGTCTTGACCTCCAGATCCTCTTGCCTCTGCCTCCTGAGTAGCCAGGATCACAAGCATGCACCACCACACCTGGAAAGTGACCCCTTCTCTATGAAGTGTTTTAACCGATTTCATGTGATTTGGAGTATCACTTTTTCAAATTATTTTAATAATAGAATGGTAGACAAAAATGTACCTATTCTTCTGAACAGATTTTATTCTCTAATTAGCATTAATCTCAGTAGCAGTGTTATTGATCCCAAGCTTCTCTGAGAATCTGATAAAGCTAGATCCCTCTGTCCCACTTCTACCCCCAAATTCATGTGCGCACACATCATTCTGCAAGTATCTTCAAGGGATTCACAGATCTCCCAGAGGCTACAAATGGGCCCCCAGATTAAGAGCTTCTGTCTTCGTAACAAGTTCTATAAAGCTCTTATGAGCTTGAGTTTCTATATCTGAGTGTTTATCATAGTCACAGGCTCCAATAAAATTAGTAAATGAATTTAAATTAAACACAATGATCTACAGTGGTTAGGTGGCTTAATTAACACATTGGGTAATTAAATCATCATTGTTCCTTCAAATCACCAGTTATCTGGCTAAGCCAGAGGATAAAGCTATGATCTGATTAACTCCTAAACTGGGGACCAAGCCCTTCTATTTTCCTCTGACCCCTGTCCTCAGGTCTTTGTGAAGGTGGCTCCCTTGGCTAACTCCCTTCTAGGCCTTTCCTCCCCGCTGCCCTGCTCGCTAGGCTCCCACTTAAACTCAGCTTTCATACCTGGTACCGGAGGTGTGTGCCTGCCCACTAGATGTGCAGCATCCCAGGATTGGCATTCTGTCACCTGCCAAGGGCCTGCTGTGTGTCCGACGTCATGCCAAGCACCCTGGAGACCTCTCTTAACCATCACGCTATCTGAAGAAGTAAACCGAGGTGCTCTTCTCACGACCTCCACCATCACCAACTGCCACCCTCTCACACCCAGACCATTGTCAAAGTCTCCCAGCGGCTCCTCCTAAAGTTTAAGTCGGATGGTGTTGCCCCTCTGCCCGCGTGTTTTGCTTACAATAACTTAGTCCAGCGTATTCATCATGGCCCGTCCACCTTGCTTCTGGCCAGCTCCCACCCATCGCTGTCCGTTTCCCTCTTGTTCTGATCTGCCCTGATGTTCCTCAAACACAATAATCATGCTTCCATCTCAGGGCCTTTGGACTTCCTGTTCCCTTCTCCCATCTAACAGATGTCTTTCTGGGCTGGGGCAGGAACCCTGATTTGTAGCATTTGCAGGCATCTTTAGGGCGGATTTCAAGCTACCAATCGGACTTCTCTGAACATGAAATCGGGATGAGATCCACTTGGTCAACAGCTGAGCGTGGGCGCCAGCACAGCATCACCTCTTCCTCCAACCCTCCCACACAGCCTCATGGCTCCCTGACTTCTTTCAGGTCTCTCCTCAAATATCGTCCTATTCCGGACACATTCCCAGGCTACTCTTCCTTAAATAGCACATGACCCTACACTCATACCTTCTTTATTCTAACGCTGTGTTTTCATAGTACTTATCACTGTCTGGCATGTATTTACCATTGATATGTTCCCATATCAATATGTGTCTTGTTCAATACTGTTTCTCCTAGTATGTAAGAGATGCTCAATAAATATTTGCTTTCAAATGGAGAAGTTTAGTAATCTGCTCAAATCACACAGCTATTGAGTGTTCCAGCAACGAGGCTGCTGGTCTTAATGAAGCTGAGATAATTTTTATTCCCGATGCCTAAATCAGGACCTGGGTAGGGAATAGTTGGTACACACTAAGTATTTCTCAATTAAAAAAATAAAAATTTAAAAAAGCACAATGGCTATTGTCTGCCCCAGCCCAGGGTAAGGAACCAAACTTGGTTTTCCTCACTTGCTCTCCAAGAAAACAAAGCAGAGGGAAACCTAGGATAGAAGGAAGCTATGAAAGGTGGTGGACAGACATCAGACATGATGGGTGGGTTATTTTACAACTTCTGTATGAATAATGCCTAAGTGGATTTTTTAAGTGGTTAAATAACATAAAAAATATGTAAAACGGGAAGGTAAGAACCATCTCTTCATACAGCAATAAACAACAGGTTATATTTGACACTGTCCCAAACTTTTGCAATGAACAAGTTTTTTTTTGTTTTTGTTTTTTTGTAGTTGTAGCTGGACAGAATGCTTTTATCTTGTTTATTTTTATGTGGTGCTAAGGATTGAACCCAGTGCCTTACACATGCAAGGCAAGTAAGTGCTCTGCCACTGAGCTACAGCCCCAGCCCATGAACAGGTTTTTTAAACTGTATTTAGTATAAGTTGAACATAATTTTGTTACTTGCTTTTAAAATTAACAATATATCATAAGCATCTATGCTAATAAATACACTTCTGTCTATTTTTGATGGCTTTAACTCAGCTTCTCTGCCATTCTTGGACATTTAGATTTGCTTTTTGCTATTTTAAATGTCACACTAAATTTTACATAAAAATCTGTGACCAAAGTCATACTTATTTAATTGCTATAAATTCCAAAAGTGGAATTCCTGAGTCAAAGAATGCAGTGATCTATCTATAATCTGTTTCCCCAAATCTCTGTCCACTGGGGAGTTTTCTTATAGCATCCTAACTCCTCACACTTACTGAGCACTGTTCTAGGCATGCAATGTGTATCAACTCATTAATCTCTTCCAATAATCACATTAAGGAGATCCCATTATCTTTACTTTACAGATGGAGAACTGAAATAAGTGGCTGGGCTGGGACTTGATTCAGACAGCTTCAGAGTGTGTGTGGGGCCCGTGCCTAGAGCACCCATGGTGACCAGGCCGCTGACTCCTCACTAACTTGGTGTTGTGAGGCCTTAGCAATGTGCTTAGCATCTCTAGGCCAGTTTTCTCATCTGTCAAGTGGATAGAAACATGATCTTTCATAAGGAGATAGCCATTTTCTTTTTTAACAACAAAGAAATTTACTCCAGCATAAAAGAAGTCTGAGTAGAATAGTACACTGGATGCAGAAGCTTAGTGATGGCCTCTGCTTCTCTGCTGTCCCTGCTGGTTCTACCCTCCAGAGCTGGCTCCGTGCATGGCCGCGAGACCAGAGCTCCAGGAAACAGATCCCGCATAACACAACTTCTAGAAGAAAGAAATTGTCTAAGTGCTTCCTTTTCAGGAATGAGACATACCTTCTTCCCAAAACTCTGACAGCCTTTCCTCACTCCTCGCCAGGAAGATTCAGATCACATACTGACCCCAAGCCAGTAACAGGCCAGCGTGCTCCATGACTGCATGATGGGGAATCCAAAGAGCACATTAAACTTATGGGAAAAGAATTACATACATATACGTATATTGTCTTTTTTCTTTGAGATTATGAATCAGGACTGTGAACGCATGTTTAAGCTGAATTACTTTATTTGTGTAAAGAGAAGGAAAAAAATCATTTAATGTACACTTACTGTATATTCCAAACAAGTGAAAGGCACTTGCTAGGCAGAGGGAAATACATGAATTCTTACCACATTAATGGACACAATAACACACAATACTTTGCAACATAGCTTTTTTTTTTTTAATTAAGTACCATATTTTATACACAATTAAAATATCACTGCTTGGGATATTCATTTAGAATTCACATCCAAGACCATTCAGTCTAATTTCCTGATTTATGGTTGTCAGGGAACTTCTGAAAGGCAGTAGGTGCTTCACAAGTGGGAAGAGAAAGTTTCATTCACCTTTGTAGGAAGAGAACTATTGGAATGGCTGCCATTGTCTCCTATCAGAGCAAGCTGCAGGCTGGACAAACCAAAGAACAAGAGATTTACTTTCCACAGACTGAGGGAAACGGCCCATGAAAACAATTTTTTAATAAAGGTGTGCCTTCCACAGAATAAAGTCAACAAACATGAAACACACGCTTCAAAGAATTTTTACTTCTGTGTGAGTAGTGTTGACTCTTAAAATGGAAACACGAGCAACAGTGCCAAGTACAGAACGGGCTCAGTAATGCCAGCTCCACACAGTCTGCCAGTTTGATAGGTAAAGAACGTCTTGGGGCTGAGATGGAGACTACTGGTAGAGCACTTTCCTGGCATACACAAGGCCCCTGGGTTCAATCCCCAGTACTAGAACAAAAACAAAACAAAACAACAAAACAAAAAAAAAACTTGATTTTATTTGCACATCTTGTGTTTAACAAGTTGAACTCTTTTTCTGTGAATTATTTGTTTGTGTCCTATCGTCTTCTCACTACAGAAATATTATTTTATCCCCCTAATTTATAATAGCCCATTATACATTTATAACACTCATTCTTTGTCACATGTACAAATACTTTCCCGAGAGACTGGGGTTGTGGCTCAGGGGTACAGCACTTGCCTGGCATGTGTGAGGCACTGGGCTCGATCCTCAGCACCACATATACATAAATAAATAAGTAAATAAATAAATAAATATCCATCAGCAACTAATAAAATATTTAAAAAAATACTTTCCCTGATTTATCCTTGCCTTTGAAATTTCTTTGGAATTCACTAGGTTTTAATATTTATTTGTATGAATTTTCTGTTCTCATTTGTAATATCCGGCTTTGAGGTTATGCTCTAAAAACGAAAAACCTTTCCAATTATATTATTAAATATGACCATGCTGTGGTATTCACCCCTTATAGGTTTTCTTACATTTAAATATTTAATCCATATATAATTGATCTTGGCACATGAGGCTAGAATCAGACCTTTTTTTAAAGAGCTTATCCTGACAATCTTTATGAATATTTCATCCATTTTATACTTACTGAAATAACATCTTTACCGTGTACTATATTTTTGTGTTTTCTTTTTCTCTCCAGCATCTCATAAGAAAGTCTAGAGGATGTATTTAGTTGCCGCCCTTCGCTGCACAGGAAGCACAGTTGTGTCACCCAACAGCCAGAGCAGGAGAGGAGTGTGAGGATTTTACACACGAGACTTACTTTCATACTGACATCCTCTGTTCCCTGGCCACTCAGTCTACTTCTCTTAGGATATTTCAGTGTGAAGTTACACCTTCACACTGCCCTACCCAGAACAGTCTACCAGCGCTCACAATGTCCTGAACACCATCCACTGACTCACTTGTCGACAGTGCCTACTGTGTACCACCTACTATGCTAAGTAGTGAAGCTGACGGATACTCTTCACACCGTGACGTGACTTCCAAGGGGGATGCACTGGAAGTACTTAATAATTCTTCAGTTTTTTGGTTTGGTATTGTTTGCTACTAAGTAGGAACTTTTAGGGGCAACCATCTGCGCTTGTAGGGAAAGAAGATACTTGAAGGGACTGCTGAGTCCCTTCAAGTTGTTATTTAGTTTCAGATAAGACCCTCTAGGGAAAAAACACCAGGAAGTGGTTTAAACTAGCCAAAGCCACCCAGTCCCTCCACTAGGTGACACAGAGTAAACTCTGCTCATTATAATGTCCCTATAATGCTGTGTGTTTTCCTCCTCAGTGGCATTCAGGCCACCATCTCTGATAATAAAAGCATGATCTCAAACTGAGGATGCTCAGGAAGGTGCTGCCTCTGCAGGTGAGTACAACGTCTCTAGTATGAGTTTTTGTAAGTCTCCCTGACAAAATCCCCTCGCCAGGGAGACACGACTTTAGGATTCATTCCTGCTGCTCTTTTCTTAACAAAAGTAAACCTCTTCCCACTTTTTATGCCCTGGTTATGTTACTGGCTTTGCACTCGCCAAGGGGCAAACCGCTGTGTTCAGTTACAGAACCACAAAGTACTGTACGACCTTTCCAGCAGACACTTGTGTCCAGACCTTCATACATGTAGTGAGGCACAGCTGGTTCCAAATTCGAACAGGAAAGACAAGAAGTAATCTTGAGGATTATCTACTGAGTATTTATAAGACACATTGGGCCCTTGAGAATAGGACAGAAAAGGAATCAAAGAGAACCTGAAAACTCTAATGAAAAAGTCCCTTTACCTCTAAGACTCAGAGACCAACGGTAAATCTCAGGTCTCTTTCCTGAGAAAAGTTGGGTCCACCCCAGATGAGATCCCCAAAAGTTTAATAAAATCAAGAATGAATTTGTAAACCCAGCTACTGAGGCTGAGGCGGGAGTGTCAAATTCAAGCCATTACCAAGGCCATAGGAAGAGGGAGGGAAAAAGGGATGGACCGAGAGAAGGGCTCTCCACCCTCCCTGCCTTGAGGTGCAAGACAGAAAAGGAGGAGTCACACAACAAATAGGCCTCTGAGGACCAGAGGAGAGGAAACTAGGTGGGGGACCAGAGGAAATGGGTAAAGGGACAGAAACTGAGGAGCTGGAGTGTGATTCAATCCATTTTCTATAGGCATTTATGGGGTAAGCTGACATCTGCCTGGCACTGACTCTACAGGGAAGAGGGTGGGCACCACCCAAGCAGGGTTATGGGAAGTGGCAATTTAAAGTGGCCACACCCGGGCTCTCCAATGCACGCTTTCTCCAGCAGGGGGCTCCTCTGTGTGAGCTTAGAAATCGCTGACTTGGGCCAGGCCCAGCTCCAGGAGAGCACAAGGGAGGGACAGGAGCCTGCTCTGGGATCTATTCCTGACAGGAAAGAGGCAGAATGTCCTTCATGTCCCCTCTGGGGTCATTTACATGTTACGGTTTGGATGTGAGGTGTCCCTCAAAAGCTCACATGTGAGACAGTTCAAGAAGATTCAGAGAAATGATGGGCTGTGAGTCTCCACCCAATCAGTGAATCAACCCCCTGGATTACCTGAGGGGTCTGAAGCGGCAGGCGTGGCCCCGGGGTGTATCTGTATCTGGCCAATGGAGGCTCCGCTGACTGATCAACATGTGAGCCGCTTTCCTCTGCCACACTCCTCACCTCGAATGGAGCACCAGGAATGGAGCCGGCCTGCCGTGGACTAACACCTCTGAAACCCTGAGCCCCAAATACACCTTTGCTCCTCTACAGCTGTCCTGGTCGGGTCCTTTCATCACAGTGGCAAAAACACTGACTAAAGGACACGCTACTCACCCGCCACTCATTCCCAGGTCCTGCCCCACTCAGCGGGCACAGCCAGGAGCCCCGAGCTGGAGCGCCATGGAGCGTGAGGGAGCAAGGGGGAGCCCTGATCAGGTCCACCACCTCGGAGGGGCAGCCTCACGGGAAGGTGGAGAGAGGCAGGACGGAGGGCAGAGCCCTGGGAGGAAGCCACCAGCCTGGCAGGGGCAGGCCGAGCAGGCCGGACGGACGGTGAGCGCACAGGGCAGGAGAACAGGCAAAGCTTGTGGGGGTGGGGGGGACAGGCCAGGCTCCAGAGAGCAGAGAGCAGTCACGGGAGTGTGCAGGAGAGCAAGGGGCCAGTGGGAAGGGGAGGAGCAGGAGGGCGAGTATGTGGTCACCCGACACCTTTGACAAAAAGTAAAGAACAAAAGAGGACTTAACCCCGAAGTGAAAGGACTGACTGTCTAAAGTGGGAAAAGGATAAGGGAACAATCAGGCTGAAGCAGTCTCAGAGTTCACGGGTTTTAACACACGGGGACAGGGCAGGCTTCACCTCAGATGGCACACAGACCATCAACGCCACTAACCCGCAGAACAGGGGCCTCTGCAGTTTATTCAAAGGGCACCTAGAGAGGCAGAAAGGAGGTGGGCCTTTGTCCTTCCTGGGACTCACTCATGTGGCTCGGGCTGTGGGAAAAATGAGCCCCTGCCCTACAGGAGCTTCGCACGTCTCACTGTTATCTGCCGGCCTAGACCCTGGTAATGGGAACATATCTGGGCCGCCTCCCTTTGAGGTCAGGGTACTCAGACACCACGTGTCCAGGGGTGACAGCCCTGATCTTAGCCACCATTTGTTTTTACCACGACCCCACCTGGAGACACTATTCCCTGAGCCAGGCAATCCCTGACTGGCACTGTGTGGGAGCAAGGAAAGGCCACGCTCCCTCCCTTTGCCCACCGATCAACGAGGTCTTCCGGGACAGTATTAAGTAGAAAACTGAAAAGTCCAAGAGATAAAGACTAGGGATGGACACTGCAGAGCCAAGATTCCTGAGCAAGGCACAGAGGCGGCAGTCAGTGGCCACTAGTCAGGACCTACCTTGGGAGACCTTGAGGGGATGCCCAGCTTGGTACCAACCCAAGGGACACTTGAAGAGAGACATGTGCTCATGTGAAGACACTGTACTCACTCCCTTCCTTCTACAGGTAGCAAACTTGATGTCAGTTCCCTCTGACCCTCTAGTGGGCAGTACCTTCAACAACTAGAAGATTTGACCCAAGTCACTTGAGAAAAAGAGGCTTGTCTTTTTTGGTCCCACGGCCTCAATGTGAGTTGGGAGAGGGACAATGATGGCCACTCAGCAGCAGCATCAACTATAACACCAGGGTGACCTACAGAAAACCTGGGTTGTTTTATCCATGAGGTAACTTAAAATAGAAACAAACTGACAATTTGTATTTTTACTTTAAAATAAATCTGTTATTTCTAGAAACCCATACTGAAGAAAGATGTCAATCATCATCATACACAAAGTTAAGCTTTCCAAACACCAAATCTCTTTAGTACAAGATAAAATCTCAGTGTAGCATTGGAAAATGCAGAAATGTTATATATCACAAATCTTCAAGGGCCAGCTTTGGTCTCTCTGAGAAACAAAACACACCGGATGTCACATATGCTAAATTAAATAAGCAAGAGGCCACTATCCTGAGGCTGTCTCCAGTACTCTAAGATCTTATGTAATGAGTACATTACCTCAGCCCAGAAATAAACTGAAATCTAATTTAGGAGGAGGGCTTTCAACAAATAACAGTTTCAGCCAAACAAACAGCTGAGCTTTAGAACTTGTCCAAATAATGCAAAAGCCTCACTGCAGCCAATCAAGTTATTTCTGCGCTCTATTTCCACGTCTGCCCTCACTACAGAGCAGAGCTTTTTGAACCTCTTTCCACTTTCAGTACTACTCAACTCATGCATTGTTCTTTGCTCAAATGAACCATTAAATTTATCTAAAATTTTCCTTTTATTTTATTTGGGGAAGGTATCGGGGATTGAACCCAGGGGCTTTACCACTGAACTACATCCTCAGCCCTTTTTATTTATTTATCTATTTATTGAGACAGGGTCTTACGAAATTTCTTAGGGCTCAGTTGCTGAGGCTGGCCTTGAACTTGTGATCCTCCTGCCTCAGACTCTCTAGTCACTGGGATTACTGGTGTGTACCATCAAGCCCAGCAAAAGTTTTCCTTTTAAACATGTCCAAATGAGAAAAATGCCTCGCTGTCACAAATCAAGTCATTTCTGTTATTTCGTGTCAGCCATCACTAGACTGGAGTTCTCTGAACCTCTTCCTTTCCGTTTTGAAAGCTACCCCATTCATGAACTGTTCTTTGTACAAATAAACCATTAACTTCGTCTAAAGTTTTTCTTTCAACACATAAGAACACTATCAGCTTCAGAAATGTAAAACAGCCAGTGAACCACACTCTTTTTCACAGAATTAGCAGATATACACCACCTGTTTCTTTTCAGATCAATTTCTTCACTGTTTCTTTTTTTTACTTGCTGGACTGTCCAACACTTCAATCTTGCCTTTTCCACCTTCTGAATTAGGAAGCTTAATGTTATCTATGGTAACTTCAGACGAGATGCTGTCATCTTCATCCTCAGATTCTGAACTGTCCTCTGAACTCTCTTGTGAACTCTCCTCTGAACTGTCCATTTCTTTTGAATCTGAGTGATCCATCTCAAATAAGGCCACATCCTGCAAAACATATCAGGTGAGAAATCTATTTCATAAAAAATCTATAAAACTTTGTTAAAAAAAAAAAAACATGCACAAAGGGTAAGAAATGTTTTTTAATAGAACATGGCACTATCATGTTTTCAGTTGCCAAGATCCACCAGAATGATGACTGACATTAAGGTCTAAAAGGTCTCCTATAGCCTTACTCTACATATCCTGGACACATTCAGCATCCCTTCATTTAAATATTAACATGAGCCAGGTATCCCACTAGATTCTAGAGATTCAACAACACAAAATCAAAACAAAACCCATGCCTTCATTTTTCAGCAGAGACCAGCAAATTATAAGCTAAAGGCCAAACCCTACCTGCTACCCACTTTTGCTCAGCTTATGAACTAAGAATGGCCCACAGAGCCCAAAGTATTTACCCATCTGGCCTCTTACAGAAAATGTTTACTGACCCCCGTTCTAGAGGGGAAAGAAAGGAAACAAACAAATACATATAAAGCAGAGTACAGGGTAGTGAAAACAGAGAAAGATAAAATAGGGCAAGATCCAGGGAAGTTCTCCTGATGAGGTGACAATTGAGAGGAGATGAGTCAAAATGCAGAAATGTAGACACACACATTGTAGGTGAGAAAGTCACGCAGGAGAAGCCCTGAAGCAACGACACTGGGAGCCAGAGCGCAGCAGACAAGGGGCTGTGAAGAAGGTAGGGGCAGAGACAGTGAGCTGGAGGGCTGGATCACCGAGCCCTGGGAAGGATTTCCATTATTAGGAACACTACGGGGAAGGCCTCAGGGACTAAACTGTGTGCCACACACTGTGAGAAGAACAGACCCCAGGGAGAACAGAGCAGAAGCAGGAAGCCCTGTTAGGAAATGACTGCCGTGGTTCAGGAGAAACCACAATTACCTGGATGGAAAGAGGCTACCCAGAGTGCTTGGAGGGGGATCTATTCTGAAGCAGTCCTGAATCTGAACGGGATTCGCTGATGAATGGATGCTATTAACCGTGCTGCCAGCTCTGTTCAGACACTAGTGTTACAAAAGGAATTCCAGGTGGCCACGGAATGAGTACAAATGGGGCAATTTCACTGGAAGCTTATGGGATTGATCATTTCTTATAAGCACATCATTTATTTCCACACACTCAATGAATCAGATTATAATTGCCTCTTTTGGGAAAAAATCAAATCAGCTAGGACAAATTAATGCTTCAAGTTAACAAATGTGATATTTGGCTTGAAAAAGCCCACCAGTGACTCCACATGACTAAATCCCTAAGCTCCACCCACAGAAGCTCACGGACTGGTGAATGCACCATAAGATGTCTAAATTCCTACGCAGTATTGGAAACGAGCGTGCTCTCCGGTGGCTCGGAAGCAGAGACAGGAGGATGGTGAGTTCAGAGCCAGCCTCAGCAAAAGCAAGACGCTAAACAACTCCGTGAGAGCCTGTCTCTAATAAAATACAAAATAGGGCTGGGGATGTGGCTCAGTGGCCAAGTGCCCCTGAGTTCAATCCCTGGTTCCTGCTCCCCCAAAAAAGATTCAGTGGGCAAGTTCTCACTCTGACTTTTAGGTGACAAGGCACATGCTGATTTCACTGTATGAAATGAAGGAAAAGCATAGTTACCATCTGTATCACTTTCCCGAGAGTCCCATCGAGACTCTCGATATTGAACCGACCAGGTGGAGCAGCAGCCATTTCTTTCCGTAGTTTTTCATTTGCCTGGGCCATCTGGGGGAGAAAGTTCTGAACTTGGTCTAACACTATGGAGAGAGAAAATGGCATAGCAACATTCATGTGAGTAAATTCAAAATCCAGGATTCTCTGTAAATTCATCTGCATTGAATAGTAATAATAATAAATCATTCAATGTTTCCATGTTAAAAATATCTGTTCACTTCTGAATTATTTTTCCCCCAGTACTAGGAATCGAACCCAGAGCCTCATGTGCTAGGCAAGCACTTTACCACTGAGGTACTACACCCCCAGCTGTTTTTTCAATTTTATTTTATTTTTTTAAATATTTTTTTAATTGTAGATGGACACAATATCTTTATTTTGTTTATTTAGTTTGTTTTATGTGGTGCTGGGGATAAAACCCAGTGCCTCACGCTTACAAGGAGGCAAGCACTCTACTACTGAGCCACAACCCCAGCCCTAAATTTTATTTTGAGACAAAGTCTAAGTTGCCCCAGCTAACAATGATCTTATGATCCTCTTCACACCAAGCCACTGAAAGCAACAAGACTACACAATTCAGCAACTAATTATTTCTTTAAAAAGAAAAATTGTTTTGCATTACTGGGATTGAACAGGGCATTCCACATGCTAGGTAAGCACTCTACCATTGAGCTCTAACCCCAGCCCTTATATGATTATTTTGAGACAGGGTCTTGCTAACTTGCTGGTCTCAAACTTGCAACCCTCCTACCTCAGTCTCCTGAGTAGCTGGGATTACAGGTGTGCACCACTATGCCTGGGGCTCACATGTTTTATTTCTATTCCTCACACAACCCCAGCACTACTAACTCCTGAAAGGATGGCATTCTAAAGTACCTGAGTAAGGAGACAATGCCATAACAGTTAAGTATGCCAGGTTCTGAGGCTTACGATGAGACTGTCGCGGTTACTGACTTATTCCAGCTCCGCCTCCTAACTTACCTTAAGCAAGTTAAGTAAGCAATGACTGTCACTGCCTGCCAATATCCGCTCCCCTTTTTCTGATCTCCCCTTTAAGCCTGTGTTACTATCAGTCAATCATCTCTCCTCCTACACATGCCTACAATTTCCACACCTGGGCCACTGTTTGTTTGGTGGCACACAGAGATGCAGCACTCTAGTCGGGCTAATACCTCATCAGACTGTGGTGTCTGAACTGTCAAGAAACATTCTGAGTGACTGACTCCGGGAGCAGCTGAACAAGAGGCTCAACCTTCCAACAGAGCAGGCAACTTGCCACAGAGAGGGTTGAGCCTGCTCTAGATCCAGGCCAACACCTACAAAAGCAGAGCTTAAAGATACAGAGCCACAGGCCCCTCAGGACAGGGAGTCCCAGGATCCAGATATGCTTGAAATTGCTGTCCCTGGGTTCTTTTACCCCAATAATATAAGCCAACATAATTTCTTTCCTTTCTTTAGACAATGTGAGCCGTGTTTCCCTTACCTGCAATTAACAGTGCTAACTGGGGGCTGGGGCTGGGGCTGGGGCTGAGCGGTAGAGCACTTGCCTAGTATGCATGGGGCACTGGGTTAGATCCCTGGCACCACATTAAAAAAAAAAAAAAACTAGATAAATAAAATAAAGCTATTGGGCTGTGGTTGTGGCTCAGTGGTAGAGTGCTTGCCTGGCATGCACGTGGCACTGGGTTCAGTCCTTGGCACCACATAAAAATGAATAAATAAAATAAAGGTATAAAAAATGCTGTATCTGTTTAAAAAAGAGTGCTAACCGATAAACATGATTTTACCACTCAACACCTAAGCATGCTCCTCTGATAGAGGTGTGATAACTGCCAGGCACTCTGCTAAATACAGAGGAGTCAACAAACAAGGGGTATTTAATGTCTTTGTATCTCAAAAGAGGCCTAGCAAAACTATCCCCATAACAGACTCTCAAAACTCATCAAGCCACTACTAGGGCTATATGACAGATGACTAAAATATCCAGTAGACAGAAGAAGAGACCCTGTATACACACACAGCCTGGCACATCCTGAATACTGAATAACTGTTAGTTTTCCTCCCCTTTCAGATACAGAGAGAAACTACAGACAAAAATCAAGGTATTTCCTTGTCTAAAGATTCAAATGTATTATCAGAGGCAGGATCTCCTTCTACTCTTGGTTGTTTGGTACTGGAGATTGAACCCAGAGGCACTTTAGCACTGAGCTAAAACACCAGCCCTTTGTATTTTCTGAGACAGGGTCTAGTTGCTTAGGACCTCACTAAGTAGCTAAGGCTGGCCTCAAACTTGCAATCCTCCTGCCTCAGCCTCCACAGTTTCTGGGACTGCTTGTATATGCCCTCACTCCCAGCTCCGTTTTCATTTTTTACTAACAAATCAAGTGGAGCAAAGTAAGTACTAACTTATTCAGCTTGAATCATTCTCAGAAGCCATATTTCTGCCTGTAATCTCACCTACTGGAGAAGTGGAGGCACAAGGATGCAAGTTCTAGGCAAGACAGAGCAACTCAGTGAGACCCAGTCTCAAAAAAAAAAAAAAAACGAAAGAAAAGAAAGAAAAAAGGGCCGAGGTTATATAATTCAGTAGTAGAGTGGATGCCCACCACATGGGAGACTCAGGGTTCAATACCCAGGTTTTTTTTTTTTTTTTTTTACACAAAACATAAACAAATGAACAAATAAATAAAATACAATAAACTTAAAAATATAATAAAAATTTTAAATGGGCTAGGGACATAGCTCAGAGGTGGAGTACCTGCAGAGCATGTGTGAAGCCCTGGGTTCAATCATCAGTTACATACACACACAATTCCAAACATGTAAATAACCAGCAATGACACTGATGACAATAAGAATGTTAAAATAACTACCATAAATATACTGCATACACTCAACAAAGCAAACAAAGCACAATGAGGAAAGAAATAAAAGATAAAAGGACTCAAACTGAAGGTGTAGAGAAGGAAACTATAATACCTGATTCAGGATTAACAGATTAGACAATCATGAAGATTAGTGAACTTGAATGTACAGCAACAGAAATTATCCAAAATAAAACAAAAAGTAAGACTAAAAAAAAAATAAAAGGTATTAAAGAACAAAGGGGCAACTTCAATTGGCAAAATGTGTATTTCTCGAGGAAAGGCAAGAGAGGAAGAGGGACAGAGAAAAATATTGGAAGAAAAAAGTGAAAATTTCCCCAAATATGATAAGAACCATAACCCCACAGATCCAATAAGGTCAATGAATCTCCACGCTCCAGAATCACAAGAAAAACCATGGAGCACATCATCAAGTGGATAAAAACCAATGGTAAGGAAAATCTTAAAAGCAGCCAGAGAAGCCAGGCACAGTGGCACATGCTGGTAATCCCAGCAACTTGGGAGGCTGAGGCAGGACAATTTCAAGTTCAAGGCCAACCTCAGCAATTTAGGGAGACCCTAAGCAACTCAGGGAGACTTTATCTCAAAATAAAACATAAAAAGGGTTAGGATGTGACTCAGTGGTAGAGTACACCTGGGTTCAATCCCCAGTATTGCCAAAAAAATTCTTTAAAAATTCTTTTTTAAAGCAAAAAAAACAATAAAACAAAGGCTAGGGCTGGGGATGTGGCTCAAGCGGTAGTGAGCTCGCCTGGCATGCGCAGGGCGCTGGGTTCAATCCTCAGCACCACATACAAATAAAATAAAGATGCTGTATGGACTAAAGATTTTAACCAATAGTTCACCAAAAACATTTAAACAGTAACACATGAAAAGATGCTTGCTGAGTATGGTGGTACACATCTGTAATCCCAGATATTCAAAAGGCTGAGGCAGGAGGACTGCAAATTCAAGGCCAGCCTCAGTAACTTGGCAAGACCCTGTCTCAAAATTAAAAAAACAAAACAAAAAAAACCACAAACCAATACCACTACACACACAATAGAATAGACTACACTCAATGTTGGTAAGGATATGCAGCAAATAACGAAACCCTCCTACCTTGCTTTCAGGAATGCAAAATGATAGATGAATTTAAGCAAACAATTGAACAATTTCACTTCTAAGTATGCACCTTCCCAAAATGAAAACCTACGTTTACACAAAATTTGAACAAAAAGCTACCATGTAGTCATTTTAGCTACTAGATTCAGTGCACGGAATGGTTCAGTTTTTGGAGTATTCATGATTTCTTAATTTATAAATACAATAACCTCCTGCATCATTTACATTGTTTTCATTAAATATTTGACATCTGAATTACACACATATTGACTATTATATGAGAGCCATTTAAAAAGTGAGTGAACAAACTTATAAATGTGCAGTATAATATTAATATAGAATAATTAATAAACAGAACTGGCTTGGTTATGTCATACTATAAGCAACATTTACCATTTAAGTACCTGTGTCCAACTGAGGGATGTCGTGGTGCTTTTCCATAGACATATATTAAGTTTGGGGCTTACTTAAAAAAAATCCCATGGAGATTAACCATAATGTTTTTTTTTTTTTTTTGCAGCACTAGCAATTTCTCCCATGGTAGACAAGCATCCTACCACTAAGCTACAACCACTGCTGTTGTTTTATAAAAAAAATTTAAACAGGGTTTTGCTAATATATCCAAGGTGGGCTCTAACTTGTAATCCTCCTGCCTTGGCCTCCCAGGTATCTGGGATTAGAGGCATGTGACACGGTACCAGTAACAATTAGTTTTTGTCGGTTTCTTTTTTGAGTGTAGGTCTTCCTATGCTGCCCAGGTTGGTCTCCTGGACTCAAGTGACCCCTGGGCCTCAGCCTCCAAGTGCCAGGATTGTGGGAGCAGATCAGCACACCCCGCTATCAACAATAATTGTTTTTGGCTTCCAAAAATTCATACCTCAAGTAGCTTTACAGGAAAGTCAGCTTAAGGCAGGGGAGTGATACAAGAAATTCTATCCTTATGTATTGATTTTAAAATAGGACTTATTCCACTGGACTTTGTGGCTTGATGTCTGACTTATAAAGACAGAGATTATCCCATCAAATAACATCTTCATTAGACAAACTTTGGCATTCTTAGCACAAGACAGGGAATGAGGTACTTACACGGGCTCCTTTCTATCCGAACTGTCTGAAGAGTGGAGGTCTCTCTGGAGTTAGGCTTGGAGTTGATGAGTAACCGGTCCCATATACCTGAAAACACATAGAAACTGATTAACTATAGTATAATAAAAATAACAGGAACTGAGGTTTAGGGGTGTAGCTCAGTGAAAGAGTACTTGCCTAGCATATTCAAGGCCCTGGGTTTCTAGCACTGTAAAAAAAAGGCACTCGGAGTTTCAGTACATTTTGACTGTGTGTGTATATCCTTTCTTAAGCCTGTCTCCTTCATCATTATTATTACACCTATGAGTAATAAATGCACATTGAACTCCATTTTTCTAGGTCAGAAATGCATCAGTGCACAAATGCGAGCCTACAATGATAGAGGAAGCAGCACCAGTATAATATTAGTTGAGTAAAGCCAGAAATAGTTTCTAAGTCTGTAAAATCAGTCAACCTGGAGCATTTGTTTCTTCATTTGTAAAATATGCTTATCTGGTTACTTCTTTAGACATGCCCAAGCTAGGCAAAGCAGCTCTTCAGGGAAATTTTGTTTCCCGTTCCACCTTTTGAGCTTTCTCACCCACTATTCCTCCAGTCAACCTAACTTTCTAGCCCATGAGAGCTCTGAGAACAGAACTTTTAAAACTCAAGTCTTTGCACACTATTTCTTTTTCTCTATTATTTTTGTTCTTTTCTTTTTCTTGTGATACTGGGGACTGAACCCAGGGGTGCTCTACCACTGAGCTACATCCCCAATCCTTTTTATTTTGAGACAGGATCTTGCTAATTTGCTCAGGCTGACCCTGAACTTGCAATCTTCCTGCCTCAGCCTCCCCAGCTACTGGATTTACACACCATTTCATACCTGGAAAATCTATTCACTCTCTGGTACAAAAATCCTGTTCATCCTCAAAGCAGAGTTAAAGAAATACCCACTGAATATTTACTACTTAAGGACTAGTCATTGGATTAGTTAGAAGCAGAGCTGCACCCAGACTACTTGAAATCACATCACAGGTTTGCTACTTTCCAGCCACAATCCCTTCAGATGTATTCTTTAAGGATCTGTTTTTTTTTTATCTGTATGCACACCATGCCTCAACTTGCTCACCTATAAAACGGAGAAAACAAGAGAACCTTCTGCTCAGTTTCGTGCAGTATTAAATGTTCAGTATTAAACTCTGAGGCATAGCAAGCACTACACGAGCTTTGGCTATCACTGTCATTACAGCTCCTTCTCATGCTCTGGATTCTCATCTTTTCTCCAAACAAAAAAAAAAAATCTTTTCTTCTATCTACTAAGAACAGTCGCAGGCCCTTTTATGCATTCTCCTCCTGCTCACAGAAATTCTACTGGTACTACCACCTCCATTCTCGAAAAGTGAACGCCGAGGTTTGGAAAAGGTAAATAAGTCTCCTAGAAGTCCCACTGTGGAACCAGGATTCGAAACCATCCTTTAATTCTACGTTAGTGTCTGAAATTCTGTGCACGTCTCCCTCCAAGAGCGCGGCGCTGGGGGAGCTCTGTGCGCGGAGGAGGAGGAACGCAGTGGTCAGCTGAATGATCACCAGCTTCGCCGACCAGCAAGTACTCGGACACAGACAGCAGGGCCCGTCGCCCTCGCTCTACCCGAGGAGCCCCGCCGCAGCGCCCTGCAGCGTGGACGCCCACTGTCTAGCGGAACAGAACCGCCAGCGCCCGCGCCAGCCCCAGGCCCGCCGCGGCCTCGCACGGTCCCCGGGGCTCCTCCGCCGCACGTGCGCGCCCCACGCCGCCGCCACCGGCCCCTCACCTCCTCGGCCACCGCTCCCCGCTGTCAGCAGCTCGCTGGACACGGAGGCCCCTGAGCAGTTCCGGGTGGACGACGAACAGCTAGAGCTGGGACTGGCGCTAAGCTCACCGTGGACCTCCATGCTTTCCCAGCCGGCCTGCAGGAAAGAGCCCGGATGCAGGAAAGAGACACAGCCGAGGGGGCGGAGCCACGGCTGTGATTGGATTAAACCAAGCTGTGGGCGGGGATAGGGCGGGGCGAGGGACGGCCGGGCTAGCGTGATACCTAGCGCAAGGAAGAGGTTCCCTCTTTGGGGAAAGCAAGGTTGACGCTGATTGAGGTACTGTCCTCGTCATTAGAGCTGTCAACGCTCTATTTATTTAAACAAATTCGAACATTAAGAGCATAGCATGAAGCTGCCCTCCTCTGCACTTTTTTTCTTAAATTTGTTTTTAAAATTGTGGAAAACACGTAGCAAAATTTACCATTTTAAGCATTGTAAGTGTATTGTTCAGTGCACTACTGTTCAATAGTGTGCACAGTATTGACATTGCTGTACAAGGGATCTCTAGTACATTTTCTTTTTTTTTTTTTCAGGTTGTATACAAAGTATATTCACATCAATTTGTGTCTTCATACATGTACTTTGGATAATAATGTCCATCACATTCCACCATCATTTCTAACCCCATATCCCCTCCCTTCCCCTCCCACCCCTCTGCCCTATCTAGAGTTCATATATTCCTCCCATACTCCCTCTCCCTCCCCCACTATGAATCGGCCTCCTTATATCAAACAGTCAGCATTTGGTTTTTTGGGATTGGCTAACTTCACTTAGCATTATCTTCTCTAACTCCATCCATTTACATGCAAATGCCATGATTTTATTCTCTTTTATTGCTGAGTAATATTCCAGTGTGTATATGCCACATTTTTTTTATCCATTCATCTATTGAAGGGCATCTAGATTGGTTCCACAGTTTAGCTATTGTGAATTGTGTTGCTATAAACATTGATGTGGCTGTGTCCCTGTAGTATGCTGTTTTAAAATCCTTTGGGTATAGACCAAGGAGGGGGATAGCTGGGTCAAATGGTGGTTCCATTCCCAATTTTCCAAGAAATTTCTATACTACTTATTAAACCCCTATCTCTCACCATGCACAAAACTCAATTCAAAATGGACCAGAGACCCTGCATATAATAGAAGAAAAAATAGGCCCTAATCTCCATCATGTGGGATTAGGCCCCAACTTCCTTAATGAGACTCCTTTGGCACAAGAATTAACATCAGGAATCGATAAATGGGATGGACTCAAACAAAAAGTTTCTTCTCAGCAAAAGAAACAATCTGTGAGGTGAATAGAGAGCCTACATTTTGGGAGCAAATCTTTACTCCTCACACATTAGATAGAGCACTAATCTCTAAGGTTTATAAAGAACTCAAAAGCTGAACACCAAAAAATAATAATAATAATAACCCAATCAATAAATGGGCCAAGGACCTGAACAGACATTTCTCAGAAGATGATATACAGTCAATCAACAAATATATTTGCTAGCAATTAGAGAAATGCAAATCAAAACTACTCTAAGATTTCATCTCACTCCAATCAGAATGGCAGCTATTATGAAGATAAATAACAATAAATGTTGGCGAAGATGTGGGGGAAAAGGTACACTCATACACTGCTGGTGGGACTGCAAATTGGTGCAGCCAATGTGGAAAGCAGTATGGAGATTTCTAGTACATTTTCAATTTGCAAAATCGGAACTGTGGCCAGGTTCGGTGGCACACATCTATAATCAGAGTTCCTCGGGAGGCTAAGCCAAAAGGATCTCAAAGTTCCAGGCCAACCTTAGCAACTTAGAAAGATCCTGTCTCAAAATAAAAAGTAAAAATATCTGGAGTGTAGCTCAGTGATAGAGCACCCCTGAGTTCCATCTCTAGTAGCAGAAAACACCCTACAGCTCTGGGTGGTAGAATGGCAGCTTAGTATCCAGGAGGCCCTGGATTCCATCCTCAGCACCAAAAAGTAAATAAAAAATATCTCTCTACCTATTGAAGAATGTCACTCCATTGTCTCCTCTCCCAGTTGCTGGGAAACAACATTCTGCTGTTTTTATGAGTTTGATTACTTCATATAAGCAGAATCATATAGTATTTGTTCTGTTTTGGTTTGGGGTGTGTGTGTGTGTGATTAGTTTATTTTACTTAAAATAATGCCCTGAAGGTTTTTCCATGTTGTGGAATAGGACAGGATTCCCTCTTTTTGAAAGCTGAATTATATGCCATTTCTTTGCCCATTCCTCCCTCAATAAACATTTGAGTTCCTCCAGCCTCTTGGATATTATGAACAATGCTGAAATGGACAAGGGTGTGCAATATCCCTTCAAGATCCTACTTTTCAGTTCTTCTGGATACCTACCCAGAGGTGAGACTAGTGGATAATATGGTAATTCTACTGTTAGCTTTCTGAGGAACTTGCACACCGTGTCCTTGACACTATCCTACATTCCCACCAATGGTGTGCAAGGTATGAACAGAAGACCGTGCCCTGCTCTAAGTCACTCCATGATGTATAGAACAGCCGTTTTCAGACTGTGCCTAATCTTGGGCCACTCTATTTTTTAAAGCAGTGGTGTGTTGGAAGTTACTCCATTTTAAGTCCTGAGGTGGAATGATTCTGCACCTTGTTGTACCAGTAAACAACCACCATCTGCCTTGCATAACCCAAGGCCCAAACTGGTGAATAAATTAACCATGCTAACAAGAATGGCCACCTGTGAACTTATAGAATTAATCAGAAGGTCAGGATAATTTAGCTTTTTATGTTGCAGCATAGGAGTTCTTTATATATTCTAAATATTAGCCCTTTATAAGATATAGTTATTGCGAATATTTTCTACCATTCTGTAGGTTGCTCTTTTTCTCTGCTGATTATTATTTTGTTGTTGCTGTTGCTTGTGGGGATTGGAATTGGGGATTGAACCCAAAGGAGCTTAATCACTGAACCACATCCCTAGCCATTTTTATTTTTTATTTTGGACAGGGTCTCCCTAAGTTGCTCATGTTAGTTGCGGAGCAGGCTGAACCAATGTTAGCTGCAGGACACTAGACCTGGACACTCGAACCCCCCCCCCCCCCCCCCCGTCTGGTTCTTTATCGCTTGTTTGCCTCAAGTCTGAACACTCAATCCCACTCAAGTCTAAACACTCAGCCCCCACCTGTCTGATGCAAAGGAAACCCACATCCGACCCCCTAGCTGGTCTGCCTGAAGACAGAAGATGACACCCTTAGCAACTACTGGGTGACCCAATCACTGTATGCCAAAAAGACAGCTTGCAGACCAGAGACTCCATTACATTTGGGCTATAAAAACTCTCCCCTCTCTCTCTCTCTCTCTTTCTTCTCTCATGCTTCCACTCTCTTGCGCTCTTCCCACCCCCCCATCCCCCGCCTCTTTCTTCTCTCTCTCTCTCTCTCTCTCTCTCACCGCTGCAATAAAGATCTCTTGGTCGCTCCGAGTGTTGTGGTCACTTTCCTTTCAGCTCAGGACCTCACTAAGTTGCTGAGGCTGTCTTTGAACTTGTGATCCTCCTGCCTCAGACTCTCAAGTATCTGGTATTTCAGGTGTGCACCACCATGCCTTGCTCTGTTGATTGCTTTTTGAGGTTTTTTTATTAGCCACTTGTAGTATTCCCAAACCCCTCTATTATGAGGTTCAGAGCAGAAGTAGAAATCTTGGACCAACCTTTCTGCATATTTCTGACAGAACATGAGCGCTTCAATAAGTCAGAGCTGGGTTAAATCCTGTCTCAGATCACTCATGTAATAGCTGTGACTTTGGGCACAACATTCTTTGAGACTTCATTTCCTCCTCTGAAAAAGCAGGATAATAATACTTCATATAATTTTCCTAAGGCTTCAAAAAGTAGAGGAGTAAAATATATGTAACAATACTACTATCTGCATTATTGTTATTATGGTAATTATAATTTAGCACACATATAATAACCAAGTTATAAAACACAGGGAACAAAGAATTATTCGAGAAATGACAGTAGGCACCGAGGAGGAAACACTAAATAATGAATTTTAAATTTTTATTTTATTATCTTCCTACTTCCTAGTCAAAGCTTACTGTCTAGAGATCCTTCTGAGAAAGTATAGTATTTTTTTTCTTTGTATTCGCATCACTGTAGCTTGGAATAAGTTTGATAAATGAATGAGCAATGAGAAAGAAGATGAACACATGAATAATTTTTAGAAATATTTTTAGTTGTAGGTGGACACAATACCTTTATTTTATTTATTTTTATGTGGTGCTGGGGATCAAACCCAGTGCCTCACATGTGCTAGGCAACCGTTCTAACACTGAGCCACAACCCCAGCCCACACATGAATACTTTTATTAAAAGTGTTTCATTGGGGTGGGGATGTGGCTCACACGGTAGCGCGCTCGCCTGGCAAGTGCGGGGCACTGGGTTCGATCCTCAGCACCACATAAAAATAAAATAAAGATGTTGTGTTCACCAAAAACTAAAAAATAAATATTAAAAAAATTCTCTCTCTCTCTCTCTCTCTCTCTCTCTTAAAAAAAAAGTGTTTCATTGATTGACTGATCACCTCCCTAAACCTGAATTTGATCTACTTTTTTAAACCTACTTCCTAGTTAGAGATCCTTCTGAGAAAGTATAGTATCTTTGTATTCTCATCACTGTAGCTTGGAATAGACAGTTAATGATTGATCCAAGTTTGATGAATGAATGAACAATGAGAAAGAAAATGAACATATGAACTCTCTCTGTGCTTTTAAAAGCAAAACAAAACAAAACCTGGATTCAGGTCTTTGAAAATGTCCTCAGATCTCTTATGTGAATTATTGACTAAACTCTGAAGCACCCTCTGGAGTTACAACACTATAAAAACCTCATGAGATGAGGCTGGGGTTGTAGCTCAGTGGTAAAGCGCTTGCCTAGCACATATGAGGCCCTGGGTTTGATCCTCAGCACCACAAAAAGATAAATAAATAAAATAAAGGTATTATATCCATCTACAACTACAAAAAAGTATTTAAAAAAAAACTCATGAGACATTGCTGGTTTGTAAGAATAACTTAGGAATTAAGAGATTCAGATCTTGCCAAGAATAGAAGACAAGCTGATAG